ACCATCACCATCATCATCACCATTACCATTACTATCATCATCATTACTCGACTCTACTTATTTGTTCATTTCCATTGTCTCCAGACTTGTCCCAATAGTCCAGGGGACACTGATTTGTTCCTCTTAAAAATCCTGTGAAGTAGGTGCTATTATTCTCCCCCATTTTATAGATGAAGAGACTGAGATAAAAAAGATGAAGTGACCCGTCCAGGATCACACAGCTGGTATTGATCTGATTGGAATCCAGGTTGTCCTGACTCCAAACCTAGGGATCTAGAAAAAAGTCCTGTGATGGGGTCTAATTTTGTTTCCTTCTGCTTACCAGGGGGCCTGGCAGCTGTGATCTATACAGACACCTTACAGACTGCGATCATGCTGGTGGGGTCCTTCATCCTGATGGGGTTTGGTAAGTGAAGCTGGAGAAGGTTGGGGGTGGGGAACAGAAATCCTGAAAACACTGTCCATCTCTGAATTGGAATTTGAGTGTGGGGACAGACTGGAAGTAGAGCAGGGCAGGGTGGGCTGTGGGACTAATGATCTTGTGGGTTTGATCTCTGGGTGGCTACTTGTCCTACAGGGACACAAAGAGAGTGAGATGGGGGAGGGGGCTGGTTCAGTGTTCCTCTCTCAGAAAAAACAAAGAAACCCCAGAAGTACACATCCTTTTTAATGCCAAGAAGGAAGATGAGTTCATCTTTTATATATAATAATGAGTGAATAATTAGTTATGTAGGAACAGAGGAAACCTTTTCTCATGATTGAAGTTTGGGTCATCAGGGCTCAGGATTGGGGTTTGAGAGCAGCCTAGATTTGCCTGTTGTCAAAATCTCAATTCCAAAGGCTCTCCCAAGTCATCTAGTCCAACTGGGTTCTGACCAAGGTTCCCGCTTCATAGAATAAGTGGTCATTCAGGCTTTACTGGAAGAATTCCAGCAAGAGGGAAACTGATAACGTCCCATGATGGTCCGTCCCACTCTTGGACAGTGTTCTAGGTGTTAAAATGTTTTTCTTTAAATCAAGCCTAAATCTGCCTCCACAACTTCCACACACTGCTCTTGGTTCTGCTCTGTGACTCCAAGAAGAATAAGTCGAATCCTTCATTCCCCATGATAGTGTCAGTTGTCACATCCTGTCATGAATTTTATCTTCAGCAGCTTAAACATCCCCATTTACTACCACCTGGGCTCAGACGACATGGTTCTCTAACCTTCTCCCTACCTGGTTGCTCTCCCCTGGAGGTTTTCTCACTAACCAAGGCCTTTCCTAAATGTGGGCACCCAGAGCTAAATACATACTCCAGCTGGGGACTGACCAGTCCCTGTCTTTCTTGATGTTGCTTAAGTTACCTTGTTCCATGGGTGATGTCCTTAAACATTTGAATTCGATTTGATTTGATTTGATATTCACCCTTAGGCAGTTTCTATGTTCTGAATGTGTGTGTGTGCGCGTTCATGTGCACACGAACGTGCGCACACACACATTCCTAGAGGCAGGGAAAGGGTAGAGAAGTCAGTATGAGTCTGCTTCTGGAGTCCAGCAGGCTAGGGAAACTCCTTCCACTAAGACAGATTGCAGTGCTATCTATGACCCAGTCAATAAGGCCTAGGGAATTCACTAGAAGTGAGGTCACTTGACTTGCTCAAGGCCACGCAGCTAGTAAGGGTTTAAGGTGGGTTTTGAACTCAGGTTTTCCTCACTGTCCTCTCTGCTATGCTGAGGAGGGGTATTTAAAAAATGATAAACACCTTCATATTTCTACAGGGCTTTGCAGTGAACAAACTGGCTTTTGTCAGATGGTTAATGAAACATTTATTGAACGAATGACTAATTTGATTTGGTTCTCACAGGAGGCCTGAGTGGTGGGCAGGGAGGGAATCATTAGGCCCCTCTTCCAGATGAGTCTTGCCTAGGATCACTCAGGGAATTTGTGGTAGAGAGAGAGGCCTCCTGACCTTCATCTAGTCTGATGTTTCTCCTCTCCTCACCAGAGACCTACAAAACATTGAATGACAGAGATGGAAGGGGATCTAAAAGAGAATCTAGTCCATTTCTTCCTCATTTTACAGATGGGGGAACTGAGGCCCAGTGAGGGCATCAATTTGCCCATCCAGCACTGGAGCTCAGATTTCCCATCACTTTGCCTATCAGCTGTGTTTCTGCCCAGGTTCCCTTTCCTCTTGGGTATTCCTTGGATATTAATGGATTGCCATGGGTGGGGGCTGACTACTCAACAGCATTTGTGATGTTTTTATTTTAAAGCCTTTAATGAAGTCGGGGGCTATGATGCCTTCATGGAGAAGTACATGAAAGCCATTCCAAGCATAATCTCTGATGGGAACATCACTGCTGACCCCAAATGCTACACTCCGAGGGCAGATTCCTTTCATCTGTTTCGTGATCCCATAACTGGGGACCTCCCCTGGCCAGGTCTTATCTTTGGCCTTGCCATCCTTGCCCTATGGTATTGGTGCACTGATCAGGTAAGAGACTCCAACGAGTGTGTGTGCATGAGTGTGTGCAAGTGTGCATGCACGTGTGTGTATGTGTGTGTGTTACCATGTTGCTCACCCAATGGGTTTGTTGGAGATCTCTAAGCATGCTCAGCACTGGACCTTTTTTTCCCAAGGGTCCTCCAATGGCCCTGATATGCATGAGAGAAAGCCAGTGGTTCTGTCTTGCTTTCTTTCCATGGTGGACAATAGTAGGACTACAGGATTTAGGTCTGGAAGAGGTATTGAGACCATAGAGTCCAGCCCCCTCCTTTTACAGATGAGGAGGTTGGGGCTGAGCAGGGTGATGCGATTTGGCCAGGGTCACACAGCAAGTGGGTGAGGCAGGATCTGAACCCAGCTCTTCCTGACTCCAAGTCCAGTGCCCCATCCCTTTGAACCTCGTTCTTCCTGACTCAGAGGCTGGCTCGTCCTCATGTCTCTCACCATTGTTCTCATTCTACTAAAGTGTATATCCTGTTAGTCTTTTAATCAAAAAGAAAATAACTCGATTTTTTACAGTATTCAGTTGCAATGTTATTTCAATTGTTTATTATTTTTTTGAGAATGTCAAGTTTATAATGGGAAAAATACATCTAAGAGAGACCCAGCTAAGGGGCAGTGTGATGTAATCTAGTAGTCCTCAAACTTCTTGGTCTCTGGACCCGATCATAGTTTAAAAAATTTATTGAGTGCCTCCAAGACCTTTTTTTTTTTTAACTTGGGTTATATCTATTAAAATTTACCATATTCAGAATTAAAACATCTTAGTATTATTATAAAAATAGTTTTGATCCAAAGACCCCCCTGAAAAGGGTCTCCAGGATATCTAGGGGTCCCCAGACCACACATTGAGAACCACTGGTTTAATAAAGAGGGTCCTGGGTTTGGAGTCAGGAAGACCAGAGTTCAATCCTGCTTCAGACACTCCCGACCTGGGTGACCCTGGGCAAGTCATTTCATGTCCCTGGGCCCCTGGAAAATGAGGGAGTTCTGAGGCTCCTTCCAGCTCTGGAGCTAGACCCCTAAGTTCTCATGGAGCTGATCTGAGCAGCAATCAATCAATAAGCATTTATTTATTGGAGGAGATGAAAATAAACCAGTCCCTGCCCTCAGGGAGGTTACATTCTGAGATAGATAATATGTATCTATGTGGGTACCTACATAACCTATACAGTCAGTTAATCAGCAAGAATCTGTTAAGTGATGCCTACCTAGAATTCCTGTCCTGAGTTTCTTTCTCCCCATGCCAGACCTTCCTCCACTCAACTGTGAAACTGATGTTCCTAAAGCACAGGTCTGAGCATGTCAATAACCTTCTGTGTCTCCCTATGACCTCCAGGATCAAACATAAGGTCCTCTGTTTGGCATTCAAGACCCTTCACAACCTGTCCCCTGCCCCCAACTTTCTAGTCTTCGTATGCCTTGCACTCCCCTCGCCCAGATACTCTTTGATCTTGAACAAGCCCTTCCATCTCCCAACTGCAGGCATTTTTCCTGGCTGTGCCCCCTGCCTGGAATGTTCTTCCCCCTTATCTCCACCTCCTGCTTTCCCTGGCTTCCTTCTAAGTGCTGCTGAAATTCCACCTTTTACAAGAAGCCTTTCTGGCTCTCCCTTAGGACAGTGCCTTCCCTTTGGGAATTCTTTCCCATTTCCCCATTCTTATCTTCCTTGTTATTTGCATGTTATTTCCATGTCTCCTTGAGAACAAGTACTGGGTTTTTTTTTTTAACCTTTCTTTGTCTCCCCAAAGCTTATCACATAGTAGGTGCTTAATTAATGCTTATTGACTAGACTTGATCACTATGGATACGTAACAGAGAAAGTGAATAGAGAGCCAGTCTCCACCTTGAGAAGACTGGTGCTAAATGCCAACATTGCCACTGACTGGGCACCTTTCAGAGCTCCAGGCAAGTGGCAGAGCTTTGTTGGCAGAAGGGGGTTCCCTATGCCAGTTTCCTACTTTGGGCCAGGCATTGCTCTAGGAACCAGGGCTAGCTACTAAGACCAAAAAATCGAAACATGCCCTGCCTCCAAGAAGCTTCCATTCTTAATAGGAGAGACAAGTATAGATGTAGAGATTCACAAGATAGGTACCAGATAGTTAGCAGTATTTGCTTCTGGGTTAAGTGGCCTGAAATGTAGGCATGATGAGCAGCCATGGGAAGGATGGAAGAAGCACCTGGTGGGAATTCTTTGTGCTGAGCTCAATCATTTTTCTCTGCTGCTGAGAGGCTGTCAGTCCACCTCCTTCTCAATGGAGGCGCTCAAGGGCTCCAGCTGTGGAGGTGACAGACATCGAGGGGCTGGAGGTCCCTGGCCTGTGTTCTTCATCCTATGGGTTTTCCTGACAGGTCATTGTGCAGAGGTGCCTCTCAGCTAAGAACATGTCCCATGTGAAGGCCGGCTGCATAACATGTGGTTATCTGAAGCTGCTGCCCATGTTTCTTATGGTGATGCCTGGCATGATCAGTCGGATACTCTACACAGGTACCTAGCTCCTGCAGCCCCAGGCCCACCGGCATGGAATCCTGGCCCCTTCTCAGCAGCTTTTTCTATACCATCCTTTCTTGCCTTGGCTCCTGAGTGAGGCTGGCCTAACCTTGGACTTGGGCATTCTTTGGACTATTCATGTCCCCCTTTTCTAACTCATTATTTGTCAGCTCCCCCTCCCAGAAACTTGACCTTCTTATAGGGGATTGTGACACATGCCCAAGATCAGTCAAATGCAGGGGAAGGGGCATTTGGTGGGGGCCCAGGGAGAAGGAAGCAAGCCAGAGCTCTCTGAGAAGTTCCAGGAGGGAGTTATCACTTGGAAGAGGGAGGGAAGGGGTCAAAGGAGTCTGTCTGTGCAGAGGGACCAGCATCTTTGGTGGGCATGGAATCCAATGTAGTCCAGCTTTAGTCAACAAACTAGTGGTTTTTGGAAATACTTATTGCTCTCTTTTGTTTTCATAGAAAATCAAATTTTCTATTATATCCCTTCTTCTGTCCCATAAAAGGGCATGTTAATTCACGTGAACCCAAGATCTTGAGGTGACAAAGATGAATAGGTCTTTGTCCTCAAGGGGAGACTGGACTAGACCAAAGAATCAACAAGCATTTATTAATCACCTGCCGTGTGCCAGGCTCAGTGCTGAGTGCTGGGGATAAAAGGACACAAATGAATCAGCCCTGTTCCTCAAGCCACTTACATTCTGCTGGGGGCCACAGAACACACACAGATGTGTATATACAGCACTGCACAATTTTAGTAAAGGGAGAGTGCTAGCACCTGTGCAGAGGAGGAAAGGCTCATGTAGAAAGTGGCACCCATGTGGAAGCCAAGGATTTTGTGAAATAGAGGTGATGGCATTTTAGGAGTGGGAAATATGCCCATGCAAAGTCACAGAGGTGGGACATGAGAAGATTGTGTAGAGGAAATAGCTAGCCAGTCAATTTGACAAGGATGGAGAGAGTGAATGAAGGGGAATACTATGAGATAGGATTAGGAAGATACGTGGGAGCCAGGTTGTGGAGGATTCTGAAGGAAGAGGTGGGACTTCAACAGATGGAAATGACAGGAGTGGGGTGGGGGTGGGATGGACATTTCAGGGGATGGAAGAGGAGAGGAGGGGGAGACCCCCCATTAGATCATAATCTCCTTGAGGCCAGGGACTTTGTAATTTTTCTTCCTTGCATCTGTAGTCCCTTGCATGTAGCAATGTTTCTTGAGTTCAGTTTCTGCATTGTAACTCTTAAGAGAAATGAGATAATTGCCCCCACAGCAAAGAAGTGTAGGACATCTCCTCCAGCTCCACCTTCAAGCCTTCCCCTCCCTCTGCCCCTGCCCAGGAGCTATGTTTATCCCCATCCAGGGTTTGGGATGGGACTGGAGCAACAAAATGTGGGAATAGGGGTGGCTGGATCTTTGAAGAAATCTAGGGAAATTATGGGGTCCTGGGGATGCCAGGCAAAGAGGTTGTTGGGTCTTGGGTTGGAGAACCAAGGCAGGTTTCTGAGTAGGGGAATGATCTGATGACAATGGGCATTTGAGGAGGTCCCAGTTTCAAGTCTTCATTTGCCACTCTCCTTCTCTTTCCAGATAAGGTGGCCTGTGTCCTTCCCTCAGAGTGTGAACGCCAGTGTGGGACCAAAGTAGGCTGTTCCAACATTGCCTTTCCAACCCTGGTGGTGGAACTCATGCCGAATGGTAAGGATCTGGCTTGGCTGGTGGGGCTAGTTCTGAGACAGCAGGTGGCAGGGGGATCTTGGGAAGGAAGGGACTGTCGGAGGGACTGAATCCACAGGAATTTTTCATGGGAGTGTTTGCATTTTGTCAGGGCCGCCGGGGTCAAGGATCTAGAGTCTGGACATCAAAGGGACATCAGAGACCATCTTGTTCTAGATCACAGATTTGGAGTTGGAGGCTCCATCGCCAGTTATCTAGTCCAATTACCTCATTTTGTAGATGAGGGAATAAGGCCCAGAATTTGACTGGCTTGCCCAAGGTCACGTAGAGAGCAAGAAGACTCATGGGGTCAATGCTTCAGATTTGGAAGGGGCCTCACTGACCATCTGGTTCAATGCATACACACATAGAAGGGATGCCCAGTGACAAAAGGTCATTCCACCTGTGCTTGAATACCTCCAAAGAGGATGAGCTCACTACCTCAACAGGCAGCCCTGCCACCTTAGGGCAGCTCTCATGGGTCACACGTTTTTCCTGACATCAAGCCTGAATTGGCTTCTATGCCACTTCCTGGCTCTGTCCCCTGGGGCCAAACACAACAAATGTGACCCCTCCTCCACATGAAGCCCTTCAGATGCTTGTACACAACTTTCATATCTCCCCCAGACCCTTTTCTTCTCCAGGCTAAACATTCCCAGTTCCTTCAACTTATCCTTCTATAATAGGGTCTATAATAGGCCCTTTCCCCAGCCCAACTTACTCATGTCCTTTAACTGCGTCACCCAGAGCTGAACAGAATACTTCAGATGAGGTCTGACCAGGGTAGAGGACAGTGGGGCTGTCACCTCTCTGTTCCTGGAAACTTGGTCTCTCTGAGTGAAAACAAGATCCCATTACATTTTTCTTTTCTTTTTTGATATCTGCATCACTCTGCTGATTTATATTGAGCTTGCAGTCCCCTAAGATCCTGAGATCTTCTTCAGACATATTGTTGTTTAACCATGCCTCTGCCATCTTGTGCTTGTTTATACTCAAGGAAGGCTTAGGATAGGGAAAGGATTTACTCAGGGTGACACGGGGAGTTATTGACTCCACACACTGGCCTGGCACATTCTTCCCTGGCTTGCCGGGTAAGAGTGCGGAGTTTTCCCACATAGATCTAATTTCAAAACCTTGCACAAAACGTTGTAATCCTACAACAATTGGAGGTAATCATTAACCACCTCAGAGACTGGGGCTGCCTGTTGATTAAGCTCCATAATTAAGAAAAGGTTGAAGCGGCTGTTTGGGTCCCAGCTGGGGCTGTGGTGACCAGCATGTAGGACAGTTGCCGCCCATTGGCTGAGGATGTGGGTGATGGTGTCGGAATGAGTACCTCAATGGCTACCAGAATGTTTTGGTATGAGGCAATGGAGCAACAGTGGGCAGTAGGAAGAACATTGGTGCTGGGGTCAAGTCCTTACTTATCTATGTGACCTTGGGCGAGGTCCTTCCCATGTTTGGGCCTCAGTTTCCTTGTCTGTAAAATGTAGGGACTTGGCCTTTGTGTTCTCTTCTATTATCCAAGGAGGCTGATGTTGTCAGTGATGGGAGGGGGGAGGACCATGGGGGAGGGGAGTAAGTACACCCTTGGTGGGCACCCTCTGAAGTTTCTTACCCTGGAGAAAAGTGCCTGGGCTGGGGTTACAACTACCTACAAGATCACATAGCGATGGAATGTCACAGCTAAGATTTGAATCCAGGGTCTCTGATTCTAAGTCCAGGGCTCTTTTCACGTACTGTGGGTTGACATTAATTAATGTAAAGTGTTAAACCCTCCCCTTTCTCCCTCCTCCAGTGCCCCACTCCCCATGAGACTGGAAGAACAGTAACTGATAATCCCTCCTGCTGACCTCACAAAGCTTTCTCATGTGCCCTGGGTTCCCTACATTGCCTCAATCATCATAGGTGGCTAATCCACACTTGTGGGTGACTTGGATCCATAACCTGATTTTAATCTCATCACATCCTCCTAAGGTGGGCAGGGCAAGTTTTACCACGTCTATTTTTACAGAAGAGGAAACTGAGGCCAAAAAAGGCAAAGTGACAGTGTGGGTGGTCCCAAAGTGAAAGGAGTTGCCTTAGGAGGCCATGCTAGGAAAGATTTCAAGTGAAGGTGGTCAACGTATGCTGTGGGACAGTGGGAAAGCCACAGAGCTAGGAGTAAGGAAGACTGGCAGTGTGGTATAGAGATTAGAGCTCTGTTCCCTGTATGATGTCTTAGACAAACCATTGCCCTCTCCAGGTCACTTACACAGAGGCAGAGCCCTAGCTTTCCTCCAGGTCTCCTGACCCCCAGTCTGGGCATATTTCTGCCAAACCTGGTTGTGACCCCTTGGTTGAGGCATGATACAAAGACATTCTCATCTGGTGGTACTGCAAACATGACTGTTCATCAGAAAGCCTGTTGAGCAGCCACTGTGCTGGGGAATGCCGATAAGTATACAGGGGACTTGCCTTCAGGGTGCTTGCAGTCTCATTGGGGGACAAGGGTCACATAGGTAAGTTTCCCCCCATTAGACTGTAAGCTCACTGAGGAAGGTACTTTGCTGTATTCACTGTTCAATACCAAGCACAAAGTCATAGATTCCTAGAACATCGACTGACAGAGTTGGGAGGGTCCTTAGAACATGGGAATGCCAAAGCTGGGATTGCCCTTAGAACAGAGAATGTTAGAGCCAGGAAGGGCCTTAGAACAGGGAATATCAGAGCTGAGAGAGACCTTAGATCTGGGAGAGATCTAAAATGAATTGTTAGAAGATGGAAAGTTGGAGCTGGGCGGGAAATTAGATCATAGGATGTTGATGCTAGGAGATAACAGTAGACCACGAAACATTGAAGGTCTTTAAAAGGGACTTTAAAGATCAGATGGTCTGATTATACAAATGAAGAAACTGAGGCCCAGACAGAGAAAATGTTTTCCTCAAAATCAGTCAATAACAATTTATTTACTTATTATTTAGTGAAGTCGTTGCTGAGGCAAGACCAGAAGTCAGATATCTCAGGCACTTGTGGTAGTGATGTAGTTGGAGAACAATTCAGGCTGACTCCTGGCATCTGAAGGCCCAGGGCCTCCTCCAGCTCAGAGCATAAGGTGTTATTATTGTACAGCTATGGAAACAGCAATCAGCATGGCAGGGTGGGGAGAAGAGAAGGAGGAGGGGGGAGGTTCACGGGGGAGGGGAGGGCAGTGCAGTGATAGGCTGGACACTTATTATTATCAGATTATTATCAGATCACATATTACTTATTTTTAGAGGCTGTGACCAGCCTCTGACAGTGACTCCTTCCAAATCCAACATCAGGAGCCTCCCTTGTATTGTAGGTCTTCGTGGATTGATGTTGTCTGTCATGCTGGCCTCCCTCATGAGTTCCCTCACCTCCATCTTCAATAGTGCCAGCACTCTGTTCACCATGGACATCTACACCAAAATCCGGAAGAAGGCATCTGAGAAGGAGCTTATGATAGCCGGAAGGTAACACTTTCTGCTCTAATTGTCTGAGTCGTATATCCAGCGAGTTATAGAGCATCAGAGCTAGGGAAACCCTTAGAACCCAAATTCAAATGGGAAGTTCAGAGAATATCAGAGCTAGGAGGGACCTTAGAATCCAAATAGTCTGAGATGGGAAGGACCTTAAAACAGAATGTCAAAGCTGGGAGGTGCCTTAGAACATTCAGTCTCAGAACTTGGAAGGCCTTTGGGGCAAAGGATATCAGAGCTGAGCGATGGGGGGAGACCTTAGGATATAAAATGTCAAGAATTTTTGGAACTGAGAGGGACCTCAGGACATAGAATGTTAGAGTTGAGAGATGGCTTAGAACACAAATTGTCAGAGCTGGGAAGGACTTTAGAACAACACTAAGTCAAGACCTGGATGGACTTTAGAATGTGGGAGCTAGGAAGGACCTTAGAACATTGAATGTGTGAGCTAGAAGGGTCCTGAGAATACAGAATGGCAAAACACGAAGGAATTTCCATGCCTAAAAAGGATGAGTGAGGTGAAAGAAACATTTCCAAACTGAAGTTATCATCTTTCCCCCCAAGCCATCCCTATTTACAAACTTTCCTATCACTCTTGAGGGCACCATCATTCTCTCCATCCCCAAGGCTTCCAACCTAGGAGTCATCCTGGACTCGGTGACTTTTCCTTACTCCCCATAACCATGCTGCTGCCAAGGCCTGTCCATTTCACCTTTGGGACATCGCTCAAATGAGCCCTTATCCCTCTTCTGACACTGCCCCACTCTGTGCAAGCCCTCATCACCTCACACCTGGACTATTGCAATGGCTACTGGGAGGTCTGCCTGCCACGAGTCTCTCCCCACTCTAGTACATTCTCTACTGGCCCCAAAGTGATTTTTCCATCACACAGGTCTGACCATGTTCCAACCCCCCCCCCCCCCCCACCAACTCAATCAACTCTAGTGACTCCCTATCATCTCTAGGATCAAATACAAAATCCTCTGTTTGACATTCAAAGCCCTTCCTATCCTGCTCCTCCTTCATTTGCAGTCTCCTCATACTTCTCCCATCCTACCGTTTGTAGGAAGCCTTTCCCAACCCCTCTATTCTAGAGCCCTCCCTCTGTTGGTGGTTTCCTGTTTATCCTTCTATAGCTTATGCTATACATAGTTGTTCACATGTTGTTGGACTGTGAGCTTCTCAAGGGCAGGGATTGTCTTTATTTTTATCCCCAGCACTTAGAATAGTGCTTGGCACATAGTAGGTGCTTAATACATATTTATTGATTGAAAGCATAACATTGCAAGCCCAGGTTGAGAGGGACCTTAAAATTAATTGTACCCTGGTAGACTTACAACAGCTCTGGTCTCACACCAATGTCTCTCGTCCTGACCAGGGTTTGTGGGGAACATGAGGGTCCCTCTGTTGCTGCTTTGTTTCTCCCTTGAACATTGCCTTTTTCTGGAAATTCTGAAGCTATCCTTCCAGAATTACTCTTTTGTTTTGCTTTTTGGTGAGGAAATCCAGGTTAAATGACTTGCCCAGGGTCACGCAGCTAGTGAGTGTCAAGTGCCTGAGACCAGATTTGAACTCAAGTCCTCCTGACTCCAAGGCCAGAGCTCTATCCACTGTGCCACCTAGTTGACCCTAGAATTACTTTCAACCTCAGGATTTAGGCCAGGTCATAGAATGCTAGAAGAAAAAAGGAACTTAGAGATCTATCATCCATCGATCACTCTAACCCCATTTTACAGATGAGAAGACTGAAACCCAGAGAGGGAAGGTTTCCAGGTCACATGATAACTTAGTAGCAGATTCAGAGCTTTTGCCCAGGTTCATAAGACTCATTGGGTCTAGAGCTAAAAGGAATCTTCAAGAGCATGAGGTCGTAGAATAAAAATGTTACATCTGTAAGGGTCCTTGGAGACCAGCTAGTGCATTCTTCTCATTTTTCATATGGGGAAAGTGAAACACAAGAGTGGTTGTGACCTGCCCAGGACTTCACACTTAGGTGTCACAGCTAGGTCTTCACACAAGTCTTCAGATTCTATGTCTATTTCTACCACAACATATCCAAATGCCTCTTTTAGAAGTGGGGAAATGGAGACTCAGAAGAAATCACTTGCCCAAGGTCACCCAGGTAGTAGCGATTCAAACCTATGTCCTCTGTCTCCAAATCTGGGGCTCTTAGCCTCAGACACTTAAAAGCTGTGTGACCCTGGGCAAGTCACTTAACCTATGTTTGCCTCAGTTTCATCATCTGTAAAATGGGGTTAATAATAGCATCTACCTCCCAGGGTTGTTGTGAGGATCAAATGAAATAATATTTGTAAAGCACTTAGCACATTGCCTGGCACATAGAAATCACCACATACATATATTTATACATATATGTTCACTATTATCAGTCTACTACATTGCCAGTTTCATTTCTCCTAGCCCTGTACTTTCCCCACTGCTCTACAATGCCCTTTTTATTCCATTTAATAGAATTTCAGGACTTCCAAGTTGAAAGGGAACTCAGAAGCCCTCTACGCCAGCCTAAGAATCCCTGTCCTGGTAAAACGTCCCTAGCGAGTGATCATTCAGCCTTTGCAGGAAGACTTCTGCTGATGGGGAAACCCCTGCATCCTGAGGCAGTCCATTCCTTTAACTGCTTTTTTAAAAAAGTTGTATTGCTTTCTTCAAGTCCATTTGTGCCCTTCGTCCCTCCCTTCCCCAAAGAACAATCTCCAAAAAATAAAAATAGTAGAAAAAAAATCATTTCAGAAAAGCCAAAATGAAACATTTACCAGGACTGATGGTGTATGCAATGTTCCACACTCATAATATCCCAGCTGCAAAGAAGGGAGGGAAGTGCATTTTGTCATTTCTTTTCCAGGACCAAACATGGTCATTACAATCACATAGCTGTCAGTTTCATATTCTTCCCCCATGCCCCAAGTCCATTGTTGTATTCATTGTATAAATTACTGTCATTCTACTTACTTAACTCTGCATCAGTTCATATCAGTTCTTTTATGCTTCATGCTTTTTCATATCTAGCATTTTTTATGGTACAGTAACATTCCATTCATTCATGTACTGAAATTTGATTAGTCATTTCCCAATCAATGGGCATATCCTTTGTTTTCAGTTCTTTATTGTCACAGAAAGTTCCACTATGAATATACTGGTGTCTATGGGACCTATCTTTCTGTCTTTGAACTCCTTGACGTATATGATTAATTGTGGGACCTCTGCCACTTCTACTTTCTGGGCCTCAGTTTATCCATCTGCAAAATGAGGGAGTTGTACCAGATAATATCAGTAGAGGTAGAAAAGCATGAAGTAAAGAACTCCCTTTGTGAAGATTAATTGTTAATTAGCTAAAGATTCTGTGCTTTGACTGTACAGGCAAGCAATGACTGAGCCTGAGTTCCTGCTGGAAAACGTGGTTATTGGGGAAAGTCAAACACATTTTCATTTACTATTGGAACAGATGATTTCCCAGAGGCAGAAGATTCCATTCCAAACAAGTGATTAGCTTTGGGAATAGTCAAGAAAATGGGTTGCTAATTAATGGACTTGTTCATTACTCTTCACTGCTGTCAATATTGGGTACCTTTGTACCTTTGGCTACTTGTGTGTGTTTTGATCGACCCATTAAGTGGATTAGGTCTTCCGACTTTTGTGTGCTGGTTTTATTTGCAGGTTGTTCATCCTGGTGTTAATTGGTGTCAGCATTGCCTGGGTCCCTATTGTGCAGTCGGCTCAGAGTGGGCAGCTCTTTGACTATATCCAGTCCATCACCAGTTACCTGGGGCCACCGATCGGTGCAGTTTTCCTGCTTGCCATTTTCTGCAAGAGAGTCAATGAGCCGGTGGGTATAAGCTTTGGAGAAATGTCATTATTCTCAGAAACTTAGGATCTCTTCCCCTGAAGCTGAATCTCTCCCTATGCCAGTGGGCTCTGTTTGTCAAAGCTGCGACCTTTCCCAGAACTCTTAGCTATAGGACTGAGAGGCAAGATTCTTAGAGACTGTAAGAGAACCAATTAAAATCAGGGACTGGGCATTGTGTAAGGAAAGACTCACAGACCTGAGCTCCTGTCTTGCTTCTTTATTTTATTTTTTATTTATTTAATAGCTATGTGATCTTGGCCAAAGTCACTTCTCTCTTGCCCTCAGTTTCCTCATCTGCAAAATCAGGGTGTTGGACAAGATTGTCCCTGAGGTCTCCTTCAGTTCTAAAATTCAATGATCCTATGTGTCCTCTCACCCAAATGTCCAATTGAGTGCCCTGCCCTCAGTTGGCACCCAACAAATACCCTAAAACCAATTTTCATAACCCTTAGTGATCTTCTGAGAGCCAATTTCATAGTTTGATGTAAGAAAAAAACTTTCTAAAAATTCCATATATCAAAAAGTCAAGTGGGCTGCTTTGGGAGAGAGTGGAATTCTCACCAGAATGTTTCAAGCAAAGGCTGGACCATTCTTCATCAGGGATATGTTAGGAGGTATTCTTGCTCAGCTAGTTTCCTCTAGCTCTGAGATTTTGTGATGACAAATCACATATAAATGAGGTAAGCAGAAAGTTAGGAAGGTTGGGTGACTTATCTAGGGTCACTTGGCTAGTTAGTTTCAGAGTTAGCACTTGAGACTGGGTCTTCTTCACCCAAGACCACTATCACACCTATAAGTATCCTCACAGTAGTATAAGACATACTTTGTTTCTTTTCCCTCAAAGAATTTTCCAGTTTGCTAAGGAGACAAGACTTAAATATACAACACAAAGTGATGTAGGTGGTATAGTGTCATTATTTCCACTTTATAGATGAGGAAATCAAAGCCCAGAGTGGTTCCATGGCTTAACTGAAATCAGAATTCAAATCTCAATCTTTTGACTTCAAATTTAGTGCTTTATCCATGACATCAAGCCACCTTCTTAACCTTAGAAACATGACTGCCCAGGAAAAGTGTCTACCTTCACCGTTAATGTGACTTCTCTGTCCCTCTTTTGCAGGGTGCCTTTTGGGGGTTGATTGTGGGACTCCTGGTTGGACTGGCTCGAATGATTACAGAGTTTGCCTATGGAACGGGCAGCTGTATGGAACCCAGCAACTGTCCCACGATAATCTGTGGTGTTCATTACCTCTACTTTGCCATTATCCTGTTTGTACTATCTGTCATCATCATTTTAACCGTCTCTCTCTTGACTAAGCCCATTCCAGATGTGCATGTAAGTATTCTTGCTTTTGCAGGCATCTTCCATTGATAGTTGCCCTCTTGTTTCTTGTTTGGCTTCTACTCTACAAAGATCTATGGAATCCACAAGAAACCCACAATCTTACTGTCAGATCCCTGAAGTTATTGCTGAATAACCTTAGCATCAGCTTCCTGATTGTGAAACTTGAGCTACGCTCATAGTGTCAGTGGGTGTCCTGATTGGTCATGATCTTGGGCCAGCCCAGTTCTGCTTGATTTTTAAAAATAAATTTTATTTATATCTTTTTTTTTTACATCATCTAAATCTCCCCCTTGTATCATTCCTCTTTCCCTCCCAGAGAACCATTCAATATATCCAAAAAATTTTTTTTTTGGCTAGACAGTGATGTCAAGTGACTTGCCCAGGGTCGCACAGCTAGTAAGTGTCAAGGGTCTGAGGCCAGATTTGAACTCAGGTCTTCTTGACTCCAGTGCTGGTGCTCTATCCACTGCACTACCTAGCTGCCCCCAAGAATTTTTTAAGGAAAAAAAGAAAGAGGAAGAAGAGGAAAAAAAATCAGCAAAACCAATCAACACTTTGGAAAATCTGACAACATGTGTTGTGATATGCTCCCATATATCTTACATTTATGCAAAGGAGTAGGAGACATTTTCCCATCTGTCTTCTTTGGGGTCAGGCTTGTTCTTTGCAATTTGGCAACATTCATTTTTGCTCTATTCAGTTTTTAAAGGAATGGGCAGGCATGGGGGAGTAATGGCCTTCATTGTTGGAGAGAGTACCTACATTATCAGTTCCCACAAATTTTGGAGAGTTGGAGCAGGGCCCTAAACACACTCAGCCTGATTCTTCACCCTGGCTTAGTTCAATTCAATCCAATTCACCAAATATTGATTAAATACATCTGTGCAAGGCACTGCCTTATGCACTGGGGTTGCAGAGACAAAAACTGAACAGTTCTTGTCCCCAAAGGGTTCACATTCTGTAGGTAATATACTATATGTACACAGCTCAGTAAATACAATTTCAGGAGATAAAAGACATTAAGAAAACACCTAGGCTCTCCAGAGTCTCACATCAAACAATGCAGTTAGTCATGTCTTTGAAAAATCTTATCACAGATTCAGTCCTTCACAAAAAATTGACTCCAACACCAGTCTCCTCAAGTATGGTACCAAGCATTGGAGCAGGTCAATTAGGAGGTGTAGTGGATAGAATTCTTGACTTGGTGTCAGACATTTCTTAATTATATCACTCTGGAGAAATTATTTAACCTCTTTTAATCCTCCATTTCTTCATCTGCAAAATGGTGATGATAATGACACCTACCTCCCAGGGTTGTTGTGAGGATCAAATGAGATAATATATGTAGAGCATTTTGTAAACTTTAAAGTACTATATAATTATTACTATTAATATTATCTCCAGGATAAGGGCATGCAGGCACACTCTCTCTTGCCTGATTCCTTTCCTGCCAGTTAACATACCAAGAGAAGAGCCATCATGGGTACTTCAGAAAAACTCTCTTTGAGGAAACCCAGCTAATGTGGTGGTGCCCTTCTCAAACCAGTATGGCTTGCCCTGGTCTTACTTTTGCTGTGCAAATAGAACAAATTTTTTTTAAAGGCACAGGAATTGGCTGGCCTAGCTAGATGAACATTCACTTTTGCAATGTGTTCCTTGCCACAACTTCCAAATTGCCCTGGTTCCACAGCCCCAGCTCTGCTGTCTTTCCCTCCTAACCCCCAACCTTTGTAGCTCCTGAGCCAGCTGTCTTCCCTAGCCATGGTGCTGACTCCTTGTGGAACAACAGGGCTAACATACTGAAACTGTGAGAGACCACTAGCTGAGAGGGCTGGCAGGGTCAGTGTCCTGAGTTATTTCATATTCCCCAGAGGCTCCTGGTTGATCACCTACACCATGTCCTTCAAAGCTTCTTCTCCACAAAAAAGAACCCTGAAATGATATAACTGCTTAACTCTGAGAGTTGTCCAAAAGGGGACAACTATGGTTAATACTCATAAAAAGGGACATTTTATAGTACTTTACACTTTGCAAGATATTTCATTTGAGGCTTACAGATACACTATGAGATCAATGGCCCAGGAATTCTTTTTCTTATTTTACAGATGAGCAAACCAAGCCTCAGAGAGATGAACTGACCTATGTTTAGTTACACAACTAGTTGGTTAATTAATATTGGAGGTGGGACTTGATCTCAGGTTTTTTCTGACTCCAAGTTCAGGATTTTTTCTTTGATATTACTTGGTTTCTCAATGAGTCACCAACAGACACATTCATGGAATGAATGGAAAGTTCTACCTCTTCTTTTAATTGATAGTAAAAAAAACCAAATAGACAAGCAAGCAAACATAATCAATTATATATATATATATATACATATATATACATATATATATACACACACATATATACATATAACTGTATATGTTCCCTGAAATCAAAACAACCTTGAACAGTGATTGGGCTTCATTTAACTTCATTCTGTTGTACTTTAATCTTTTTAAAAGGAAGGTCATACACTTTAAGTTTAGTCTGCTAATACCAACAGCTAACATTTATATAGCACTTTAAGGTTTGCAAAGAACGATACAGACACACATATACATATGTATATGTATATATATACATGCATATATGTATATATTTATAATCTCATTTGACAACCTTGTGAGATAGATAATCATGTTATCTACATTTTACAGATGAGGAAACTGAGGCTAAATTTTGTTGCTATTTAATATTGTCTTTGTTTACATAGTTATGGTGAGTTTGTGTGCCATATGCAGTACAACTGCTTTCTTCATTTTGCATCATTTCCTACAATACTTCTGATAGTTCCTTGAATTTGTTAGATATGTTATTCGTTGTGGTGCAATAATGATCTATTTTATTCACATAACACAATTGACTCAGACATCCCCCAGTTGTTGGGGATATAGTTCACTTCCAACTTTTTGCCATTACAAATAGTGCTGCCATGAGTATTTTTGTATCATTGTTGCTCAGTTGTTCTCATTTGTAACACTGGAGTGCTTTGCCATTTCCTTCTCTAGTTCATTTTTACAGGTGAGGAACAACAGGTTTAAGTGACTTGCCCAGGATCTCACAGCTAGTAAGTGTCTTAGGCTAGATTTGAACCCAGGAAGATTAGTCTTCCTGATTTCAGGCCTGGCATTTTATCCATTGCACCACCAAGCTTCCCTGAATACAGATAAATACAGTACAGATAAATAGTTCCTTCTTGTCATTAATTTCCTTGGGAGTAGAAATCTAGCAGTGGGATCACTGCATCAAAGTCTAAGAACAATTTTGTAACTTTTTGGGTATAATTTCTTTTTTTCCTTTTTAATTGGACCTGTGGTTTCATTGACCTAGGGAACTTTCAGTGAGGAAACTCTACTTACTGATGCAGATGGACACCTGCTGTGTAAATTGCAATCTTAGAGAGTTTTCTATAGCTCCTGAGAAGTTAAACAACTTTCTAGAGTCACACTGAGAGTGTGTGTCTGAGACAGGACTTGAAACCCAGTCTTCCTGAGGTCAACTCTCTATCCATTGTGTCATGCTGCCTCTCCACATTGGTTTCTAAAAATGGCTGGATCAATTCACAGTCAACAGTGAATCCGTGTGCCTGATTTCCCAGTCTAGCTAGCACTAAATTTCCACCCCCCACCAAAGATCTCTCCTTCACTGGGATCTTATATATCTCTTATAGGAATCACAGGTAATCCAACAGCTATGTCCTCAACTGTGTAACCAGCAGTATTGTTTGTTTTCCTTTGCTAATCTGCTTCTGTTTTTCTTGCCCCATCAGCTTTACCGCCTATGTTGGAGTTTGAGGAACAGCAAGGAAGAGCGTATTGATCTGGATGCAGGTGATGAGAAGGAAGTCCCAGAATATCCTGAAGACAAGTTGGAAATAGGTGAGTTAGGACTCTAATTCTTTTTATAGACCTCAAATTGTTTCTCCCTACAGTGATAGTAAGACCACACTTTCTGTGTGGTTCAGCCTGGATTGGAGTGTGGGGCCAGAATCAGAGCAGAGGTAAAATTAAAACCATGTTGCTATGGCTATGCAGTCAGAGCCTTTACCACTTCCCTTATAATGTGTTAGTTAAGAAGAAGGACCTGGATTCCAACCCCATTGACTGCTGTATATTCTGCCTTTGACTTTCTGTATATTCCTGCTAAAGTTACTTCTCATCTATTTGCCTCAGTTTTCTCCTCTGCCAAATGAGTTTGGATAATATAGTCTCTTAGTGTCTCAGAAAGAATCTTGGACTTGGAGGAGTGAACATGAACTTATTACTTTTGTGACTTCATCTCTCTGGACTTTAGCTTTCTCATTTGTAAAATTAATGGGGGTGGGGGGGGACACTAGATGATCCCTAAGGTTCCTTTCAATGCTGAAACCTATGAGCTTATAGTCATTCCCTTGTAAAATTCAGACAAAATTGGTTCTGAATGCCAGAGCATGCTATAATGTACTCAGGAGCTGTCCACAGTTCTGAAATCAGGATCTGGTTCTCCATAACAGGCTGGTGTATGTATAAGCCTTCAGCAATTCTGTCTTAGCAATAAAAGAGCCTGTCAGCTGCTCTGCTTGCTTACATGGCTACTGACAAATAACCTCAGAATGGAGGGGAGGGATGAAAGTCACTGGTGCATTTAGGCCCAGATATATTGAAGCATGAACTATGCAAAGCACTGTCTCTAGATCTTCTGAGATTGAGTTCCAAATTCTCTCCTTCCCTGCCTCCTCTCCTCCCTTATTAAGAAAGCAAGCAACTTGATATAGGTTATACTTTTGCAGCCATGCAAAGCACATTTCCATATTAGTCATGTTTTGAAAGAAAACACAGACAAACCCCACCCTCCCAATGAAGTAAAAAAGTATCCTTCAATCTGTACTCAGACTCCATCAGTTCTTTCTCTGCATGTAGATAGCATTTTTCATTATAAGTTCTTAGGAATTGGGCTGGATCATTGTATCGCTGAGAATAGCTAAGTCATTCATAGTTGATCATACTACAATATTGCATTATTTCATGTAAGTTTTTCTGAAACCATTCTGCTCATCATTTCTTATAGCACAATAGTATTCCATCACAATCATATATAACTTGTTCAGCCAGTTCCCAATTCTTTGCCACCACAAAATATTTTTGTACATGTAGGTCCTTTCCCTTTTTATTTTATCTCCTTGGGATAATTATGAATTTTAATAGGGTTTTTGATCCCAGAAGGGACCTTGAAGATCCTTTAGTTCAACCCCCTCATGAATCTCAGAAAGGCCATAGATTTTAGAGTTGGGGAAGAACTTGGAAAGAGGACTTGCCTAGGGTCACACAGAAAGTAAGTAGTAGGGTCAAGATTTGAACTCAGGTCCTCTGAATCTAAATCCAGCACTGTTTCTATCATACCATCACAGCCTCTGGTGGAAGAAGGGACATGAATCTGTCATCATTACTATTCATAATGATATGAGAGTACTAGATATCTCTGATATTAAGCCCTTACATTCATCAAGTGTTTTATAACTTCCAAAAGCATGTCCATACCCATTCATTCATGTGATCTTTACAATGGCCCCATGAGGTAGGCAGGACAATGAGTACATCGCTCATTTTCCAAATGAGAAAAGGGAGACTCACTGAGGGGGATAGGTTTGCCTAGTTTATTAGTGAGAAATTAGAGACTAGAATCTTGGTCTACTGATTCCTACTGCAGACTGACTCAGTTCTGTGGGCATAAGTCTCCCAACATTCTCTCTGGAGAAGCAGAGGGTGGACAATAAGACCCAAAGGAGAGAATCTGATTCCTGAGGTACCAAGACTAAGTTTGTTGATTTGAGACAAGTTCAGACCTAGAAATACCTCATTTGCTCAATGATATATCATTGGAAAATCAGACCCAAAGTTGAATAGCAAATTATCTCTGTTGCTGCACCTATAGATTAACCCATTGTATCCTAGTTCATTTGTCAGGAACACCTGTCTGAATTATGATCAGGTGACTTGGAGAGCCTGTCAGTCTGGGCATTTTCAGAGAATTCATCCATGTATGCATGCATTCACCTCTTCAACATAAATTTATTAAGTACTTACCCTGTGTCAGGCACCAGAAATTTTACAAAGGCAAAAAAGAAAACAGTTTCTGCCATCAAGGAGCTTACATTCTATGGGGGAGGGAGAATAATAACAAAATAGCTAGTATTTAACACTTTACATATGCCATTTCATCCTCACAACAACCTTGTGAGATAGGTGTGTTATTGTCCTTATTTTTTGTACAAGGAAATCAGGCTGAGAGAAGTTAAGTGACTTAGGGTTATGCAGCTAACAATATAAATATTGTCTAACTTAAAGAGCCACAGATGAGTGATTAGTATCACAAGTGAACCTATACATGTATTTTAGAAAGGGTTTTTTTTAAAAAAAAAAAACTCCAACTTTTTCTGGTTATAAATTCATCACCTGTAGCCCCCTGTAGACTATACTCCCCTAGACTGGTCCAGGAGACCACTGGTCTGGTTTCAGAACCATGGACAGAGCTTCCCGACCACCTTCAAACTTTCTCCAGGATTTACAGCCAATTTTGCCGACAATTCACAAAGTAATTGAAGAAATCCTAGGCTCACAGGTTTTAGTGTTGAAGGGGGACTTTGGGACTCTCTAGTTTGGGAGAATCTCTCCACACCCAGCCACCCTCATTTTCTCCAGCTTGGAAGGAACTTTCAGAGCTTATACTCTATTACAATAGCCTTTGAGAGTCCAGGGTCACCCAGTGTACTACAGGAGAAATGTGGAGGAATAAAGAATTCATCAGCAATAACTTCGATAAAAGAATTAGTAGCAGCATAGGGCGTAAAGGGTCAACCTTGGCATGAGGATAACTTACGTTCAAGCCTTGCCTCTGACTCATGCTAGTGACGTAACCCTTGGCAAGGCACTTAATGTGTCAGTGTCCAGGACAATTTTCTGAGACCCTAAGTTGCAGGACAGGTTGCTAATATTCACTGGTAGAGGGCATTAACTCACTGGGAGTTTATTACACAAATGAAACCATGCATCTGGAAACAAAGAGAAAAAGCCCTAACATGAAGTTCTTTATGGCTACAAATACCATATCCATGAGTGCTTGAATTGGAGTCAAGAGAACTGGTTTCAAATCCTGCCTCTCCCTTTCATTACCTGTGCCACTATGGGCAAGTTGAGCTCCAGTTTCCTCGTTTCAAAAATGGGAATAGTAATATCTAATTCACCAGGTTACTGTTAGCATAGAGTGAAAAATATGTAAAGCGCTTTGAAAGCCTTAAATCTCTAAGGAAACATTGACTCGTTATTATCACTCATTTTCTCATTACAACAAGCGTAACAATCCTTACCCAGATTGAAGCCCAAGGATCCTGGCCCAAAGGCTCAGGCTCTTTCCACTCTTCTTTGTTGATCCACTCACTGCTGGCAGGTTGGACACCTTCCTGAAAATATTCTAAATCATTTCCATTTCTGTAAACAAGTGTGAAGATAGTCATCCTTGGGACAGCTGGTAACCCAAGAAGAAGTTGCCCTCTTAATAGAAGACCACCTATCTCTTTGCTATTTTTATGTTCCCCCACCTCCTCAGTCCCGTAATTCTCTTGTGTTTCTTAGACACAGAAGTCTCTCAAGAGAATAAGAGCTGCTTCAGGAAGACCTATGACATGTTCTGTGGGCTGGATGAGCAGAAGGGGCCCAAGCTGACCAAAGAGGAGGAGGCCGCCCTCAAGATGAAGATGACAGACACATCAGAGAAACCCTTGTGGAGAACCGTTGTCAACATCAATGGCATCATCCTCCTGGCTGTGGCTGTCTTCTGCCATGCTTACTTTGCATAGATTCAGCTGGCCCTCTGCTGCAAACCAGGTTCCTGAAGGCCAGCCTCTCATCCTTTCTCCACCACTGGATTCCATGCTTCATTGTGATGGGACAGGGGGAAAGGGGAACACAGTTGTAAATTATGACTATGAATATGAGTGTACATATGTGTAATTAGAGCCTATACAAATGAAAATAATTTTCTCATTGTTAAATTATGTTTGAAGCAAAGTGAAGAAAGGTGTATATAATAAAGCCCCCTAAAGCAAGGGGGAAAGGCCACATTAGCTTTCCTGGGGATTCAATCCAATTCACTTTATTGGAACCAACACTTATCAAGCATCTACCTTTGTGCTAGGTATGGGGAAGATGGAGATCAAGATGAAGCACTCTCTGAGGATGTGCAGACCTAGAGACTATGGTTCCCATGAGATCAGCTGCATTTTGGCTTCATGTAGTTTCATTGTGAAAACTCTGATTTGGAAGAATGAAGTCACTAGCATTGTGGTGGTCATTCTGGCTGTTGATTCCTTTCCTCCGGAGATACACTCATGGCATCCTATCCTTTAACTTAGGCCCTAGGAATCAGAGAAAGCATGTGTGATAACTGTCAGAAGAGCTGGGATAGTTAGTGATCCTGAGACTCAGAATCCAGAGGCATAGGAGTTCTGCTTCTACTGACTTTCTGGGCAAGTCAGCAAGCAAGTTCCTTCCCCTCTCTGAGCCTCAGTTTCTCCATCTGTAAAATGAGGGTATTGGACTGGTTATTTTCCAAGGACAGACCTAACAGTTAGAGTTATCCCAACAGGGAATGGGTTACCTAGGGAACTGATGAGTTGCTCCTCCTTGGAGATATTCAAGCAAGGGGGAGACAGCCACTCATTGGTTGTATTATTATGGAGATCCCCTTCCCATGTGGATTGAATTAGGTGGCCATCGAGGCCTCTTCCACCTCTCAAATTCTCTGATTCTTTGACCGGATGGTCTCTGAAGGTTCCTTCCATTTCTAATCCAAGAGACAGTCTGGTACAAAGGAAAGAGCATGACTTAGATTCCACCTCTGGCCCTGCCTGGCTATGTGACCCCCCCTTTATTTGTTTCCTTTTATTTGTCATGAATCCACCTTTTGTACTTGCCACATGTTCTGGAAGGATTGTATATCTGTTGAAATAAAATGTTTTTGACCATTTTTGAGCCTGGTTCAATGAGTGCATCAGCTAAACATGTAAGGGAACTGGAGACTTTATCACAGGACTCCCTTTTGAGAGAAGAGTAAGTGTGTTAAGTGTTGGAAGGAGAATCAGGAAGATACCTGTTTGAATTCTGTCTCTGACACTTAGTAGCTGTGTTAACATAAGCAAATCATTTAACCTTAATGAATGTCAGTTTTCTCCTCTCTAAGATGGATATAATAATACCCTTTATGCTCCTCTGTAGGATGGAGAGAAGGTCAAAAATAGTGTGTGTGAGTGAAGGCCAATTTCAACTGCAGGAGCTCCCCAGATGCCAGGTGTGTATCCTCATTTTATTATCCTGAAGCAGAGATTCCCTTTGAGATATCTTTCCCACAACATGAAGAAACAGAAGCTTTCTGGCTCTCCTTAGTATTCATCTCAAGTCACAGCTCATTCCAGGCTTTAGGATGGGGAGCAAGAGAAAAACAGAATTCCAGGGATCCTTAGGTATCTTCCTGGGATAATCTCTCAATAGACTATCAGCTCTTAAAATGATGGCTTCCAACTCAGCTCTTCTTATAGACCTAGGCTGGCTCAGCTTGAAGAATGATGAACTGGGGAGTTTACACAGTGGCTACATTGGTGGAAATGAGAAAGGAACACATTCTTCACAGTGACTGGCATACCGTAGGTTCTTAATAAATGCTTGATGTTGATTGATTCTTGGAATACATTAGTCAGAAGGTAGAATAACATTCATCTGATCCATAAACAGTTATCAAAATTCTAAATATTTTGGCATATTCCACTGAAAATTTTAAAATATGAATTTCCATACAATGAAGTATGTCTGTGTTTGGCAAATGGAACCGGGAAAAGACTTATTGGATCACTTCATAATTCTCACAGGATAGTGTAATCAGTATTTTACAACTAATTCCTTGGTTATTCTGTGGATTTTCTTCTATTTAGCATTCAGTTTTTACCTCTATATGTATCGGGTGTGTTCCTTTCCACAACAGTACTTGCTTTACATTAGCAGGAGAGGCGAGCCCACACATAAGGTGGTGGTAGTGGTTGTTGTGGAGATGTGTTTGCAGCCATGGCTTCCTCTGCCTCTTTCCCAAGGGGGTAGGGCTGGGAGAACAACTTAGGGTGTAATGTCTGGATATGCCACCAGATGGTGCTCAGAGCTTGGGTTGTTTCAATTCCCTTCAGTTCAGTTTTCATGTGTAAAGGAGATAGAACACTTTCAGTCCTGAGTTCTCCTTTTGGTCTTGTATATGTACAGATAGAACTTGCCTGGGTCCTGCAGCCCTCAGTGCCTCATCCCAGATTTATCTACTCTAGTCTAAGGGTATGAAGATTCCCAGCAGTCTATCATAATTCACCACAATGGCTGAGTCCCCATCCCATTTTATAGTCTCATTTCTTTCCCAATTTCTGGTGTACCTAGATTAGGTAGGGTTTCTTTCTAGTACTGTTGTTCACAGTTTCCCCACTGGTATGCTTCTCTCTGAAATTATTAGTTGCAAATGAATTTAATTTTCTATTAATTCTAGCATTATATTTGCTCATTCTTCATAATCCATCTTGAGTGATTATGTCACATTCATGCTAGTTTTAAGTAGCTTTTAGAAAGGAATATTTACTAAGGTGATGCAGTAGGAGCAGTTAGCACCAAACGCCTCCCTTTGTTAATTCTGTGATAAACCCTCCCATCTGTACATAAGGAGTCCAAGCTCAAGCTTAGAAAGCACATGTGGAAGAAACACAATTCACAACTTCTGGTTGCTAAAAGCATTTTTTTCTCCCCTTTGTAGGGGTGTTCAAGAAATTTCTCTCAGTCATAGTGTAATTCCTTTTCTGTTCTCCTTTTGGAGCTGTGAATACATCTCCCTGCATCATATCCAAATGTTGTTGTTCAGGGAGGAAGGGGGATGATGTTAGGAAGCTGATAGGATATCCAAAATTCTCTGGATCCTTTGAATCTCAAACAAAGAGGGTAGAGAGAGAGATCTAGGCTGGGACCAAAGTCAAGGCTTCTCCTTCCCTCACACCCCCTAAATGAACCACTCTTGGTGTTTTACTGGAATGCCACAATTGCTCTGATCTCTGGAATAATGCTGGCTCATAATTAGCTTGATATTTTACAGTAGACCCCCAGAATGTGACATGGTTCCTGTGAAATATCATTCCAGTTCCTAAGATTTTTCAAATTTAATCTAACATGTTTGATTGATTGATTGAGATTTATTCTCACCTATTGAGGTGTCAGGGCATTGAATGACTCACTTACTTTAAGTGGGTTGCGGTTGCTAGATTGATTCACACAATTTATCCTACCTTTACAATATATTGGAGTAAGTTTGACTTAATGTAAAAAAAGTGTAAGATAAAAATGTAAATTAGAAATCCCAAGAAATTGACAATCCATTGCTCCCAGTGTGGTCTGAAATCTCAATTTTCCAGACAACTTACTGTTTCTGGGGAAACAGTCAACATTTGCTCTTTTGAGCACTGACATCTGGTCAGTCCTAGTAAGGTATCACATCCCAATTCCCCAGCCATTCTCTGAGTTTTGCTGTTTTTGCTGACATGTTCAAAGACCATATAGTGAAAGGATAACACCTTAAACATTTTGGTGTCAAAAATAAAGGGTATGTGGCAGTCTCTGCATGGATTTACTGCTTTATCCACTTTAGTCATGGCAGCACAAAATAGAACTTTATTAATTGAATATGGGAGGGGTGAGGGAAGAGTTGAGGATGACTCTTAGGTCGGAAACCTGGGTGACTGGGAGGGTGATGGTACTCTCAACGGTAACAGGGAAGAAGTGTAGCTTTAGGGGAAAGACAATAAATTCTATTCTGGACATGTTGAATTTGAGGTATTGTTGGGATGGCCAAGTTGAGATGCTCAGGAAACAGTTGGTGATGTGGAAGAGATGTGAGCTGGGTACATCGATCTGGAAGCTATTTGCATAGATATGGAGAGAGAGAGACAGACAGATAGAGAATCATGAAAGACCAAGACACACACAGAGTAAGATAGAAACACACACTCTCTCTCTCTCTCTCTCTCTCTCTCTCTCTCTCTCTCTCTCTCTCTCTCTCACACACACACACACAGACACACAAAGGCACAGAGACACACAAAGAGAGAAAAGGTCAGAGCCAGAAGTTTAGCCAATTCTGAGGTATAGAGACCTGGTATTCTTTGGGGGAAGGATGGGAATGATGCTAATAGGGAAGAAAAGGACCTGGAGAAAGAAGTATTATGGAAACCAAAGGAGGAAGGGAGTGGTCAACTATGCCAAACATAAAGAGTCCAAAAAGGATGAGCACTGAGAAAAGAGCATTGGATTTTACAATTGAGAAATTATCAGCAACTTTAGTGAGAGCAATTCAGTGTAGTTGTGGGGTCAGAAGCTGGAATGCAAGATGCTGAAAAGTTTAAGATGAGGAGACTGAGGCACAGAGTGCAGATGGTTTTTTCTAGGAGTTTAGTTATAAAAACGAGGAGTGATTGTCCAAATGGACAATAACTTGAAGAGATGGAAGGGTCAATGGACGGTCTTTTTTTCAAAAGGATGAATAATTGTTTATATTTGTAGGCAATTGAGAGGTAACCAGTGGTACAGAGAAAGTGAAGACATACCATTGAAACCTTCAAGAAATTCAAATATACTTTAGAGAAAATCAAGAGGAGGCCAAAGACTTAGGGGTATGGAATTAAAAAAAAAACTCACTACTGCTTATGCTTTGTTTTATGGAACACCAAATTGTGATCTACAAGGTAAGTAAAAAACAAGGAATGTTTTTTAATGCAATTATTTTTAATGCAATTTTAAAATTTAATTTAGTTAATTAAATAACTAATTTAAATTAGTTAATTTAATGCAATTAACAAAACTCAGCATATTTCACAAACATCTGTTTATCTTTTTATGCATCTATACTCTACAGATCAACAAGGAAGTTTACATGAAATTAAACTATGAAAAGCTAGAAATCGAGACACATGATCTAGTTCTATTGTGGGTTACTATTCTAGAATATCATACATGCTACCCACTATTTATGGAGATAATAAATCATGCTAACATTATGTAGTACAGGCACCAAAAAACAAAGTAAATACTTACAATATCCAGCAGGTGGCAGCAGAGATTTCTCTAAGACAGCATTTGTACTAGGCAGAGGGCATCTTCAGGAGATACAGAATCGTAGAATCTCTGTGTGGGAAGAGGTTTCGGAGGCTATGTAGTCCTATCTGCACTTGACCCAGAATCCCTTTTCTAACACACCTCCAAATGGTTATCTTATTTTTCCTTGAAGATGAGAGAAGATGAAAGGAAGGAGCATTTATTAAGTACCTACTATGTACCAAGTACTTGTCTAATGGGTTTACAAATAGAGGTCTAAGGAGGGAAAGGCTGCCACATTTAGTGGCAACACATTTCAGTCTGAGACACTGCCAACTGTTAGAAAGTTTTTCCTTATGAGGATCTTCAATCTATCTCTCTGTAATTCTCCCCACCCCGTGAGTGGAACCTCTGGAGCCAAGTAGAACAAAAGTAATACATCTTCCATTTGTAAAACAAGGAGGTTACACTAGATGATTTCTGAAGTTACTTCCAACTCTAGATATTAGATCCCATAATCCCTCTCTAAACCCCAGTTTCCTCATATGTAAAAAGAAAGGGATGGGTTAGATGGCTACTGAGGTCCATTCCAGATCTTTTTTCTATGTATGACTCTATGACTCCATCACTTGATAAGCCTGGTCAATATTTAAATATTTAAAATTTAGAAATTATCACATCATCCCCCCAAGTCTTCTTTTCTATGGGCTAAGCATCCCCATTTCCACTATCGACACCTGGTTGTCCTATTGCAAACATCACCAGCTTATCAATGTTCTCCTTAAATCTGGGGTCCAAGATTGAGCATACCCCTAACTGCCCAAAGTGGTCTGACCAGGGCAGAGCCCAATAGGACCACTGCCTCCC